GACTATAGACTAGACTATAGACTACTATAGACTAGACTATAGACTAGACTATAGACTAGACTATAGACTAGACCATAGACTAGACTATAGACTAGACTATAGACTAGACTATAGACTAGACTATAGACTAGACTATAGACTAGACTATAGACTAGACTATAGACTAGACTAGACTAGACTAAACTATAGACTAGACTATAGACTAGACTATAGACTAGACTATAGACTAGACTATAGACTAGACTATAGACTAAACTATAGACTAGACCATAGACTAGACTATAGACTAGACTATAGACTAGACTATAGACTAGACTATAGACTAGACTATAGACTAGACTATAGACTAGACTATACTAGACTATAGACTAGACTATAGACTAGACTATAGACTAGACTATAGACTAGACTATAGACTAGACTATAGACTAGACTATAGACTAGACTATAGACTAGAATATAGACTAGACTATAAACTAGACTATAGACTAGACTATAGACTAGACTATAGACTAGACTATAGACTAGACTATAGACTAGACTATAGACTAGACTATAGACTAGACTATAGACTAGACTATAGACTAGACTATAGACTAGACTATAGACTAGACTATAGACTAGACTATAGACTAGACTATAGACTAGACTATAGACTAGACTATAGACTAGACTATAGACTAGACTATAGACAAGACTATAGACTAGACTATAGACTAGACTATAGACTAGACTATAGACTAGACTATAGACTAGATAGACTAGACTAGACTATAGACTAGACTATAGACTAGACTATAGACTAGACTATAGACTAGACTATAGACTAGACTACTAGACTAGACTATAGACTAGACTATAGACTAGACTATAGACTAGACTATAGACTAGACTATAGACTAGACTATAGACTAGACTATAGACTAGACTATAGACTAGACTATAGACTAGACTATAGACTAGACTATAGACTAGACTATATACTAGACTATACTAGACTATAGACTAGACTAGACTATAGACTAGACTATAGACTAGACTATAGACTAGACTATAGACTAGACTAGACTATAGACTAGACTATAGACTAGACTATAGACTAGACTATAGACTAGACTATAGACTAGACTATAGACTAGACTATAGACTAGACTATAGACTAGACTATAGACTAGACTATAGACTAGACTATAGACTAGACTATAGACTAGACTATAGACTAGACTATAGACTAGACTATAGACTAGTCTATAGACTAGACTTTAGACTAGTCTATAGACTAGTCTATAGACTAGACTTTAGACTAGTCTATAGACTAGTCTATAGACTAGACTTTAGACTAGTCTATAGACTAGACTATAGACTAGACTATAGACTAGACTATAGACTAGACTATAGACTAGACTATAGACTAGACTATAGACTAGACTATAGACTAGACTATAGACTAGACTATAGACTAGACTATAGACTAGACTATAGACTAGACTATAGACTAGACTAGTCTATAGACTAGTCTATAGTCTAGTCTATAGACTAGTCTATAGTCTAGTCTATAGACTAGTCTATAGTCTAGTCTTCTATAGTCTAGTCTATAGTCTAGTCTATAGTCTAGTCTATAGTCTAGTCTATAGTCTAGTCTAGTCTATAGTCTAGTCTATAGTCTAGTCTATAGTCTAGTCTATAGTCTAGTCTAGTCTATAGTCTAGTCTATAGTCTAGTCTATAGTCTAGTCTATAGTCTAGTCTATAGTCTAGTCTATAGTCTAGTCTATAGTCTAGTCTATAGTCTAGTCTAGTCTATAGTCTAGTCTATAGTCTAGTCTATAGTCTAGTCTATAGTCTAGTCTATAGTCTAGTCTATAGTCTAGTCTATAGTCTAGTCTATCTAGTCTATAGTCTAGTCTATAGTCTAGTCTATAGTCTAGTCTAGTCTATAGTCTAGTCTATAGTCTAGTCTATAGTCTAGTCTATAGTCTAGTCTATAGTCTAGTCTATAGTCTAGTCTATAGTCTAGTCTAGTCTATAGTCTAGTCTATAGTCTAGTCTATAGTCTAGTCTATAGTCTAGTCTATAGTCTAGTCTATAGTATAGTCTATAGTCTAGTCTATAGTCCAGTCTATAGTCTAGTCTAGTCTATAGTCTAGTCTATAGTCTAGTCTAGTCTATAGTCTAGTCTATAGTCTAGTCTATAGTCTAGTCTAGTCTATAGTCTAGTCTATTCTATAGTCTAGTCTATAGTCTAGTCTAGTCTATAGTCTAGTCTATAGTCTAGTCTATAGTCTAGTCTAGTCTATAGTCTAGTCTATAGTCTAGTCTATAGTCTAGTCTATAGTCTAGTCTATAGTCTAGTCTATAGTCTAGTCTATAGTCTAGTCTATAGTCTAGTCTATAGTCTAGTCTATAGTCTAGTCTATAGTCTAGTCTATAGTCTAGTCTATAGTCTAGTCTATAGTCTAGTCTATAGTCTAGTCTATAGTCTAGTCTATAGTCTAGTCTATAGTCTAGTCTATAGTCTAGTCTATAGTCTAGTCTATAGTCTAGTCTATAGTCTAGTCTATAGTCTAGTCTATAGTATAGTCTATAGTCTAGTCTATAGTCCAGTCTATAGTCTAGTCTAGTCTATAGTCTAGTCTAGTCTATAGTCTAGTCTAGTCTATAGTCTAGTCTAGTCTATAGTCTAGTCTAGTCTATAGTCTAGTCTAGTCTATAGTCTATAGTCTAGTCTAGTCTAGTCTATAGTCTAGTCTAGTCTAGTCTAGTCTATAGTCTAGTCTAGTCTAGTCTAGTCTAGTCTAGTCTATAGTCTAGTCTAGTCTATAGTCTAGTCTATAGTCTAGTCTATAGTCTAGTCTATAGTCTAGTCTATAGTCTAGTCTATAGTCTAGTCTATAGTCTAGTCTATAGTCTAGTCTATAGTCTAGTCTATAGTCTAGTCTATAGTCTAGTCTATAGTCTAGTCTATAGTCTAGTCTATAGTCTAGTCTATATCGAGTCTATAGTCTAGTATATAGTTGTCTATAGTCCTAGTCTATAGTCTAGTCTATAGTCTAGTCTATAGTCTAGTCTAGTCTAGTCTATAGTCTATTATAGTCTAGTCCTATAGCTCTTAGTCTATAGTTACTAGTCTATAGTCTAGTCTATAGTCTAGTCTATAGTCTAGTCTATCGGTCTAGTCGATAGTCTAGTCTATAGTCTAGTCTATTCTAGTCTATAGTCATCCTATAGTCTAGTCTATAGTCTAGGCTATAGTCTAGTATATAGTCTAGTCTATAGTCTAGTCTATAGTCTAGTCTATAGTCTTATCTATAGACTAGTCCTATAGACTATAGACTAGTCTATAGACTAGTCTATAGTCTAGTCGTAGGAAATTTTGTTTTATAAAACCTTTCATAAAATAAGATGTTGTTTATGAATAAGGGGGTTTAACGACAAAATTTTGTAGTTAAAAAGTTACAGAATTGCGGTACTGGAGTGTTTTACGATTCTAAAGACAACAATTTTGAATGAATTTCAAAACGAACTAAAATTTTTTTTCTAAATACTAGAAATTCCTGTAATGAACTGATTTAAGTATTTACCAAAAAATCCCCTTTAGTCGTTAAAAATACCTCTATTATTCCAATTTACAATCTGCACAATAGTTATAGATTATTTATCAGTAAATATTTTTTTTATAATCTCATTTTATTCTTAGACAAATAATAAACAATTTGCACTAAATTGTTAAGAATTTCTTATCTAAAACCCACAACACACGACACAAATCTAAAACCAATACGTCAAATATGTAATAAAATTTTAGTATTAACTAATATTTATTTATTACGGAACAATATTATTAAATTTCCTTTGATATACTTAAACAGATATTGGCTATAAATAATATAGTTTTAAACATTTGGTTTAAATATATAAAAATAATTGAAACTAAAACATATATACAAAATATTTGCAGTTAAGCTCTTTTTTGCCTTCAACTTATAACCCATTTTCAGACATAGACAGTCTACTACTTACCTTAAAATGATTATGTTTATTTATATTGTTTGTTGTGGTTGTTGTTGCTCCATTCAGCACAATAATGTCAAGTACTCCAAAAATGCTGCGTAAACAACCAAATTTTTGTTTGGGGCAACACACATTCAATTAAGTCCACTGAGAGAGAACAACAATACGCAAAAAAAATTGCAGACAAAAAAATTTAAAACAACATGAGAGAAGAAAAGAAGGCAGCAATTTCATAAAAGATAATAATTGGACAAAAAGGTTCAATTGAGGGGGCAAACAAACTACCTGAACATATTCCCACACGTATTTAAGTTGATTATTTCCATAAACATTGGAGACTTTCTTTTGGTTTAGGAATTATAAATTAAAAGATTTTTTGTAGCTTTCATATTATAGTTTTATTGAAGCGAATTTTTTCAAATTTCGCAAGAATATCTTTAAACTTTTTACAAAATCTATTGATAACTTATAAAGTTGAATACTTTTAAAGTTTCTTATATTAAAAATAACATCATTCACTTAATGACCCTGTAAACTAATTAATTTGTATAAATTTTTAACAACAAGTTTCCTGAGATACTTTATCATCAAAGTAAAAGATGTTATTGATAAAGATATAATTGATTTTTAATGTAATTGCAAAGCATACGCAAAAAAAAAAAAAAAAAAAACGAAAAAAGAAGAGAAAATAAAAATATTTTTATTTCTTATTGATAACTACATACGTATTTTTCCTCTTACTGGAAATCATTGTTATCATACCATCCATATGTTCATTAAGAAATACTCAATGTCAAGACAAACTACTTACTACTCCCATTAACTAAAAAGAAAAACCACCAACAACAGCATAATTAAAAACAAAAGTCAACTTCATTTTGAGTATAAATTGCATCAGCAAAAACATTTTAAAAAGAAACACAACTTTATTTTATATATTTTTATGTATACAATAATAAATATACAATGATAATGAAAAAAAAAAAATGATGTTGGGTATTTTTTATAAAATAAAATAAATAAAATAGAAAATAGTTTTTTAAACAACGATAATTATAAATACAATTTAAAATTCGTAATTAATTTTACACACAATTTAAAAATATGTTTCTTTTGTTTGCAGTTAAGGCACCAGGCTTAAGACTTTTATTAAAATAAACTTGTGCTTTTTATTAATAAGTTTTAAATTTATTTGTAAAAAATAAAACAAATTTGTTTTATTTAATTAATAAATTTATTTTTATTAATAATAAAGCCTAAAAAGCAGCTCAAAAAATATTTCATAAAAAATAACTCAATAAACTATAAATAAATAATAAAAATTAAAAAAAATATATATTTAAATAAAATTATAAACAAGTCTGCAAATGAGCGAGGATGTGTTTTGTTGGTTTTTTAATGTAAATATGTATATATGTACATACAATGTATGTATTTATGTATGTAATTTAATTATTATTTTTAAAGTTGCTGTTGACTTATATGATTAACAACACCTGTATTAGGATTCAAGTTATTGTTGGCATTGTTAGCATTGGCAACTGCGGCAGCATGCAATTCTTGCAAGTAACGTTCTTGTTCGGCACGACGATTCTTTTCCAAAATTAGAGCTCGCCTAAAGTGAATATAAAAAACATAATCAAAAGCTCAGATCGATAGATAGATAGCTAGATAGATAGATAATAGATAGATAGCTAGATATATCTCTCGATCGCATAGATGATCATATAGATGCTCGCTTAGATCTATCTACTCGCTCGCTCGATCGATCGCTCGCTCAGATCTCGCTCGCTCGCTCGCTCGATCTCGTCTCGCTCGCTGCTCGCTAGCTCGCTCGCTCGCTCCTCGATCTCGCTCGCTCGCTAGCTCGCTCTCGCTCGCTCGCTCGCTCGCTCGCTCGCTCGCTCGCTCGCTCGCTCGCTCGCTCGCTCGCTTCGCTCGCTCGCTCGCTCGCTCGCTCGCTCGCTCGCTGTCGCTCTCTGCTCGCTCGCTCGCTCGCTCGCTCGTCGCTCGCTGCTCGCTCGCTCTCGCTCGCTCGCTCGCTCGCTCGCTGCTCTCTCGCTCGCTCGCTCGCTCGCTCGCTCGCTCGCTCTCGCTCGCTCCTCGCTCTCTCTCGCTCGCTCGCTCGCTCGCTCGCTCGCTCGCTCTCTCGCTCGCTCGCTCTCTCGCTCCTCGCTCGCTCGCTCGCTCTCGCTCTCTCGCTCGCTCGCTCCTCGCTCGCTCGCTCGCTCGCTCGCTCGCTCGCTCGCTCGCTCGCTCGCTCGCTCGCTCCTCGCTCGCTCTCTCCTCGCTCGCTCGCTCGCTCGCTCGCTCGCCTCTCTCTTTCCCCCCCTTCGTTGTGTTTTTGTCTGCCCCCTTCTCTGTTCCCTTCTTCCGCCTGTCGCTCCCCCCCGCCTTTCCTCCTCCGCCCTCTCCCCCTCTCTTTTTCCTCTTGCCGCTGGGCCTCTCCCCGCTCTTTTGCCCCCTTCTGGGTCCCTCCCTTTTTCCTTCCCCTTTTGTCTCTTTCCCTCCTCCTTTTCCCCCGTCTTCTTCTGCCCCCCCTTTCCGGCCCCTCGCTTCTTTATCTCTTTCCTCAGACCCCTTTCATGCCTCTTTCTTATCATCTACATGTTTGTGTACTAAATTTGAAAGAGATAAACCGTAGCCGTCTTCCTGGATTTCTCTCCATGCAAATGTCGTGGGTTAATTAATAACACACAAATTTCGGTGTTATTAAAAAATTAAATTTTGCTTAAAGCATTTGACGCGGAATTTTTTTAAGCAATCGGGAAAAAGTGAAATACTTTACAATGTACTTTTTTTACTCTATGTGGAAAATTTTCAAGAAATATTAAAAGTAAATACCGTTTTGCCGAATCTTTTTTTTTAATATTTTAAATAATAAAAATATTTTTCCATTTTTTTAATGCATTCCAAACTTATTTTTAAATGTGTAAATTTATTTTTAAATGTGTAAATAATTATATGAATGAAATTATCATTATTTTTCACACATCTTCCCACTCCCAATTTTGTAGGTTTTTTTCTGCACCCAACGGTTTCTACAAAATCCTATTGAATTTCGAGATAGTTAACTTCTCGTACATAATTTACCCTAGTGGGAATACCTGGCATATTGTATTGTATATACCGTCGTATAATTTAAAAAATATATGTTTATGAAAATAGCAAAGAGCTTCTATATAATTTCGTACTATATATATTCTGATCTTATCGTACAACTGAAATTACTATATTTTTTTCTCATACTCACCTATAACGCTCATAAAATCCAACAATCGTGCCCAACTCCTGTTTAAACAAACGCACCAACATACCATCAAAACACTCCAATTCTTGCAAACTAAACATATTAAACTGTAGCATATGATCCTTGGAAGAATCAGCTTCCGAATAAACAGCCAACCATTTGGGTATTTCCTCTAGTAAATATGGATTGGCCGGCACCAGGGCATTGTGAGTGTGTGTTGGTGGCGAATAGGTTTCTGGGCATATGGCCTTTGGCGGCTCAGCCGAGGTGGTATAAACATAATATGAAGTTAGGCAAGGATGTTGGCGTTGGCACTGTCCGGTATATTGATTCTCATAGTAGGTACCATGAACTTTAGAGACGACAGTACGCCAACCTACTGGTAGGCCTTCACGTTCCAAAGGATGAGACCAATGGGTTGTATGGGCATTATGATCAACATAATATTTACGTCCGTGTAAAGTGTAGTGAGTAGCCCAGCCGGGTGGCAAAGGTAGTTCCTCCTCCAACGATTGTTGTGAAGGATGTTTGCGTAATTGTGTAGTGTTTGTGGTATTAGTGGAGGTTGAGGAGGATGTGTGATTGTTACTATTGGTGGCATTGTTAACGGCATTATTGGCGTTGGTATTCTGATACAACGACTGCATGGAAGATGAAGAATTGGCTTGGTTAAGGGATGTGG